AACAAATTCAAGTAAAGCAGTGCTCACACTTTGTTGCAAAAGCTCAATGAATTTCGTCGTTGCATTAACGGTGCATGGTTCTTCCTTCAAGGGTACAAAGTTGCCTTCAGCTGGGCAACACGTCTCCACACATCCACTAGCAGCGTTTTTTCAAGCAAAATCTACAAATTCCATGAATATGGATTACAACCTAGAAGATACGCCACTCATTTGGTACGGAATGCGTTTACACGTTTCTTAACCAGTGAATCAAAAAGTGTCAATAAAAAAGACTTGGCGTGGACACACTAAATAATGGAACCATTCTTTTATGTTTCAGTTGTTTTTTTTGTTGTTGCAAAACTTTGCATTTCAAATGGAAAACATATCTTTTAAAAAGAAAATAATTGTGTTATCCCTCAGAATTATAAAATATCAGCCCCAAAATGTCAGCTTTGTTTGATGGGCTAAAATAAAACACAGTAAACCATTCGTTTGCTTAAATATTTGTCTACGGCCGTGGCATCGTTCGACGCGAAAATTCTCGACATAATAAACAATTCTAAATCCCACGATTGTAAGGGTAATTTGTCACCCATAATATTAAAAAGTAATCAAATTTTCAATTTTCGAGCCTTAATTAAAACTAAAGGCAACGAATAAATGCTGATCACCTCTGAGCGCCAAAACGTGTTGGTTTTAGACATATTAAGCCATGGTGAGTATTAAAGAAATGTTGTCACAACCGTTTATCCCGTGCGCGGATACCGTAGAGGGTCTACTCAACCCTTTCCGCTTGTGAATGTTCTTTTAGAATCCACCTCCCTGGCTCTTTTGAGTCTTTGCATCATTCCAGGAAGGTTAGCCAAGACAATATATGGACAATGAAGCAATGATTTTGCAGTAACTACCTTAGAAAAAGACCCGAATAACTAGACGAGTCGTTTTACAGTCAGTTTCTTTTTCAATCCAAGTCTCCATTGTTTCACTTCACTTGAGCTCCCCTTTACCTTCCTGGTGCGTCCCTGGTGAGTTCCAATGTGAGTTTATTCGTGAATTCCTTCATAAGGCGGCTCTCTCCTAAGTTCTCTGGTGAGTTTTCCTGTTACTTTCCTAGTAAGTTAACTTGTACATTCCACATTCTCTGATAAGTTTCCGAGTGAGTTCCTTGTGAGTTCCCTTACGAGCCGACTCTTGAATTCCTTCATATGTTCTCTTGGGTGTTCGGCAGTTCTTTCCTGAGTTCCTTCGTGAGCTCCCTAGGTTGTTCGGGAATTTCCTCGCGAGCTCTCCTTTGAGTTTCCTCGTGGTTTCCCTCTTGAGTTCCCTCATGGGTAAGTTTCCTAGTCAGTTCCCTTGCTCCTCCTGAGTTCCCCGTGAGTTTTCCTCTGAGTTCCCTTGTGATGTGCCCCGTGATTTCCATGTTTAGTTCCCCCATAAGTTCCCTCGTCAATTTCCTAGGTTGTTCGGGTATTTGGAGGGAGAACGCACAAGAGAGTTATCGAGGTTCAGGTTTAGATATCACGTTCAGGAAGTTAGATATCACGTGCCGACAAAATATTTATTTCTGTGTAATTCGCAGGCTCAATCGTTAGAAATACCATTTTTGCCACAGAGGCAAAAGTCAACTTGAAATTGGCCTACTCATCCATGAGCTGGCTCAGGGAACCTTTGATTAATAGATTTAACCGGGACGTTGGAACCCCACGATATGAATAGACGTGATGAATCGTAAAGCTTGTAGCCTACGTAGACCCGTTTTTTTCCTAACTTTATTTAGTTTGTTTTGTTCGTCATTTCCGCCATTCCTTTTGGTCTCGAAATATGTGTTACGACATCCACCGCTATATAATATTGTAATTTCATTTTTATATTTAGTAACATCTAAACCTGAAGAAGGCTGGTCTGGCCAACAAAAATATTGTTATTAATATACCACATTTAATCAGCCGTTGCAGTAGTCCTTGACTTCTCATCGTTTTACTTTTCAAGTTTGGCTGATGAAATCCAACGGTCAATCAAGCAGGATCTTCTTTCACGGCTTCGCAGTTTATTTAGTCCCTTGGATGTTTGTCTCGCATTGTAGCAGTCATACGCCTCAGCTTATTTGCAAGAACACGCACGCTAAATGGCTTGTCCGCAATCCAGTGTTAGGCAGCATATTTGGCGTAACGCACTGACCTTTACAAATGAAAGGTTATTAGTAAGTGATGCTCTTCGCACAAATGCGTTTGCTGTTTGATCGTTAAAAAGAAAAAAAGAAAAGAAAAGGAAAGAAAACAAATCAAAACAGTTTTAAGGTCCTTTAACAAAACGAAGATGCCAGGCAGCCTTAATTAAGCACCGCTTACTTCGATATCTATCTACCCATTAAAAGTACTGACAGCTGATAGTTTCTTTTTTTTTCTTCCTTTCTTTCTTTCTTTCTTTTGTTTTCTTCTGCGAGGAACGTTCGTGGGATAACTTACCCCCAAACATCTGCTCCGGAAAATGTATCCATTAATCTCTACTGCTAATAGGCTTGTCAACGTCTCCGATGTACAAATACGCTGCTCTAAGGCTTTGTTTTTCGCACGTCACGGAAGACCGTGACAAGACAAAAGAATGTCTGCGTAGGTGGCGAATGGGGGCTGATGTACAGTTTGCATACGATTTCCATGAAATAGGAGAATTGAATTTACGGAGGGCATAAATTTGCAGGCACGTAGAAGGGAACCTCATTTTGCTTTCAAGAAATCATGGCGACTAGTCTCCTTTGTTTCCTTGTAATCTTTGGTTCTCATTTACTTCTATGCTGCACAAAGCCTGTCGCTGAATGGCATGCGTCTTCGGTTGAGAATGCAGGCAAGTATAATCCAAATTGTTATGGGTGTACACCAACTTAGTCTTTCTGAGCTTAGTCACGGGGGCACTTAAGAAACGCTCTTGCTACCGGGACAAAATAGGCCTGGCGCTCTTCTAGATCTATTTAAATGTTAGTAAGTTCATTATAATTATAAAGTATAACCAGTCCTTTATGAAAAGGATGGTTTAGTTCTTAGATGCTTTTGACAACATGGTAACAGCTAACCAGACACGAAGTGTTTGCACAAGGTCAGAAATAGTTGACAGCAAAGAAAGAGAGTTCAACAAAGCAACAAGTCCTTTCGTTCGGTGATCGAGTTAGTTTTGATCAAGAAATTCGGTGCAAAAGATTTTGTCAGAGGTTAGGTCTCTGTTCGCATGCTACCACAAAACTGGACTTTTCCACCCAGGGGTCGGAGACTTACTGCTCTGTTTATATTTTGGCCGGATCAGCTCAGTAGAGAGTTCAAGTTCCGGAAATTGACTCAATTTTCGGCAAAACTTGTCTTGGCCGTTTTTAGTATAAATATATCACTGAAAAAATGTCAAGGGATTACAAAACTTTGACTGAAAACTTAAAGCGGTCCGAGTTATGGCGAACGATCGCTTGGCCGTTTTCATTGACAAGGTGCCGAAAGATTTTACAGTCGAAACACGCGTTACGCCATCTCCACAAAAAGAATACCCTTATGTTACGGAGAGTTCACGTGGTCCAAGAGAAACTAGGATTCATATAATATGTGGACACTCGACTCTGTCGCTCTTCTGTATTTACATTTTTTTAAAGAAAGAATTCTAATATTAGAACACCCCAGCAGCGATTTAGATGGCAACTTAAGGATAAGATCAACACCGAAATATTCAAAATATTCAAAGTTGGATTTACTATCTTTGATTTCATTATTGGAATTATAAATAACAGAGTAACAGCCTTGCTTGCTTCACATGCAGTCCATTCGCTTCCTGGCTCCTTTACTATCCTGTTACAATGTTGTTAGAAAGTTGCAAACGACCCTCTTTTCCCACACTTATCAGATCGGACAAAACCAATTGAAAGGTTAAACTCACAACGACAAATATTGAACAGAAAGCTATCAATAACGTTCAATAATCCTGCTCTCAAGAGCACAGGGTCGGTATTTTGAAGACCATAACTACAATAACTGTGAAAGCTTGTTTGACTTTCTCCTTTTCAGAGTATGTTTTCAAGCCATGTTTAAACATACTTATTAACCTAGCTCAATTACCTTAACCCAGGAGGGAATTGATAATTAATATTTTACACTAGTGGTTTTTCATCAGCATTTTTCTATGTTGGGGCCAAGAGCCAGCTCAAGATGCAATATCCAAGTTAAAATCCCTCAATTACGTTAGCCAGAGCACACACACACACACACAAATATTTTTACTGATGTTCCCCGAGCTTAAAAAAAACTGATGATTTCTCTCGTAACAAACAGATTGCAAGAGGACAATTGGCCTGTAAACAGATGTTAAAATAGTTGAACTTAATCACAAACACTGTTATCCTTTGGTCACTTCAACTTCAGTATGAATAAAAAAAACACACTGCGGCCGGTGACAAACATGAAAAAAACAACGCACTTTGTAAAATTTTAAAGATTAACGTTTAGTCATGCGTCAACACACATCGAGATTATTCACAGCCCTCTATTTTCTCGATTTTTATTCGATCGTTGAATGCGCGGAGAGAATCGTGAGAGAACTAGACGCCAGCGCAAAACGAAAGACTTGACTGCGTACCCCCCCACCCCCGCGTAATTCGCGCTCGCTTCGCTCGCTTTTTCTTTCACGTATGAGGCCGTGAACAGTCTTACATACATCCTCAGAAGTCACTGTTTAGCCAAACTGAAAAAAAAAAAAAAAAAAAAAGCGTAACCCCGGCATCTCATAATTAAAATATTTCACTCTTTGGACGTGAATCTTAATCCTATGGTGTGGTGTTAAAACTGACCTGCTTTAGTAGTACTTTAAACCAGTTTTCTAGTTTGGCCCACAGAACTACATTGTAATTTTCTTGTATTATTCTTTTTACAGTACTCATTCACCTCGACAAGAGAGAAATCGGAAGATAATTGTCCTATCCTTCTCTCATTCTCGGAGGCTGGAAAGGAAAAGTGAATCAGAGAATCAAACGTCAAGAGATGTCCTCATCAAGAGAAGAGTTTAAGGGTTGAGTGGAATTTGGTTTTACCAGGGCTGGTTTCATTCAAGAAAGCGCTTTCATAGAAAACCAATTAAAACAATTTTGACATTCGCAGCATTACATGGTGATGACGTCATTCTAACTTAGCCATNTTTTTCAGTTTTGCCGATCAGCGCAAATGTACAACGAGCCAGTTTATCAAAATTAATCATGACCAGAGAAAATTATAATTTCGTGTCCACTAAGTAACCAACAAATGAGCATTCTTCAAATATCTTTGCTACATGCTAATAAATTCATGTCCGTAGTTCTACTCCCAATAAACATCCTGTCAAAATTACCCAGGCCGCAGACACATAATTTATAATTTTAAAAGTTTGCACTTGCAAAAACCATCAAAGGGCGTGACAGGAGGGCCAGAACGCCTTACCTATCTATTGTTCTCTTGGGAAAAACAATCGAAGATAGTTTTTCACAGCCAGCCAGCAGTTGAAAACCATTTTGAGGGTAAAGGATAAATTACATGTACATCAGGTAGTTATTAGTCCCGTGGGTTTCCAAGCCAGCACGACTGCTACTGGAGGGCAAATGTTTTTCTTGTAGCAGTATTTATGTCCCGGGGGGGTGGGGGGGTGGGCTCTCCCTTATATGGGCTTTGTAGGTATGTGCAGCCCAAAAGGATATGGTTTTTAAGCTGTTTTGGTCATAATTAGGATATCGGTTTGAGCCAGTTTGGTCAAAACAGGGTATGGTTTTTGCACTGTAGTCTTGAATTAGGTACGTTTTTTAGAAACTACTGTTTCATAATTATCGATAAGACCGATAAAAAAGCCCTTCATGATCACGATGCCTTTAACATCGGTCTGAACTAGGAAACTAAGTATAAGTTAGGTCTGAAACAGGCTACTGATTTCGGACAGGTCATAAATGGGGTCTCGAATTTTTGGTCAAGCCATAAATAGGGTAGGGCAAATCGCAGATTTTGGTCATAAATAGGGTAAAGGTTTTAGGAAGCGGGCTGCATATCCCCACCCAATCTTTATCGGATAACCCCCCCCCNGATTAATGTAGTCTTTATTATTATCGCGATTTTTGGAGTCTCCAACTAATTGACACAGCTAATTAAATTTCGAAGCAGGTATAACTACAAATGTTCCATTGGCTTTTTGCTGTTTCTTTGGTTATTAATTTTTCTGTATACTTCGTTTTCTCTGCTAGCAAACATTTCGAAGTTTTTTGAAGGCGACATTGTGCTTGATCCTGAATTGGAGGAAGACATAAGACATGGCGCGAACTCAAGAAATGGTCTAAGAACGCGCAAGAGGCTGTGGACCAGTCGTATTATACCCTATCACATTCCTTCGTGGATGAGTATGTATCTTTGTTCTTTTCTGCTGAATGTTTCTGCTGTGTTCTAGGATAAGGCTATGAAGGCCTTGGTATGTTTTCTCCGCGCGCGGAGAGCGTGCAACGGTTCAAGTAAAGAAGTTAGTGAAATATTCCTTGAGCTATTATTGACGCGACAAAACAATAAATAATTATGTAATATTATATTTCAATCTCTGTATCAACTGAATTAAATGAAACCTGAGTCAAAATTAAAGTAGTTTATTGATAACGATAATATAATAATATTACTGTAGCCTTCTATTAGAATTCTACTAGTATACTAATGCAAACGCTGTAATCCGATTGGCTGAGCCCTNAAAAAAAAAAGTTGGATATAATCAAGTGTAAAAAATATCAACCACAATGAACGCGTCGTTAAAAGTAATATATGGATCTAGCCAAGCCTAAAAGCGGATCTGCTGGGCCGCGCGATTGAGCTAACCCAGGATAAGCGAAAATTTTGATTTGAGTTTTTTAACTTTTCGGTGAGGTTTTCTGTGTATTGTTTGGCCTTCTGTTTTGAGTTTGAATAATCTCAAAATACATGAAATAAAAGAAGTGAAAAACATTTACATACAACAAAAAATTATACTTCGGTTAACTTTTAATCCTGGTTAGCGTTAACCGGCTTTTGAACAACGCGGCCCTGTTTAAAACAAGTTAACCTGACACGGCCCCGCGATCTAATCGAAAACCAGCACTTGGTCAGTGGTCAACTTAAGTATAGTACTCTGATGAAGGCAGAAACGAAACAGTAAAACATTAGATACATCGGTACATACAGCTTTGTTGATTTTTGTTTCTTTTTTTTTTTTGGTAAATTTTAATTAAGTAATTAGCTTAGCTATAGTAAGGTCATATAATATAGCGAAAACGGTCGACCAACTTTCTGGTTTCAAAATTAATGACGAGATTAGCGTGGAAGCATTTTAGCTTTTCTATACCTCGATTATCGTCTCCATTAATTTTGCACAGTACTGTAACTATGTCAGCATACAAAAAAATAAAGTCAAGACTCTTTGCGAGCACTGTTATGTTGTTGTTGTTGTTGTTGTTGTTGTTGTTGTTGTTGTGATTATTGATGATGATGTTTGTTTTTTCGTTTTTGGAAAAACAGATCTATACTTTTGAGTTAATTATTTTATTCATATTTAGGTCATATAACTTCAAATGTGCAACAAGTCATAAAAGATTTTCACAGCAAGACATGCCTGCGGTTTGTGCCTTACCACGGGGCGTATCATAAAAACTACATTACGTTTTCAAACACGGATGGGTATGTCACAATATATATATCTATATCGTTTAAGGTGGCTGGCAACAGTTCCAGCACTTTGCAGCAGCTATACTTTGACGGATTAATGCTACTAATGTTGTCATAATATTTGCATTTTAGATGTTTATAAAAGGCCAAAAGTTACTAAAATTTGAAAAACCAAAACGTTTTCGACCCTACGGTCATCATCAGGGTTAGATGGTCGATAGATTTTCTTCTTTTTTTCGCTAAACGTAGAAAATCGGCAGATAAAATGATCCATCAAAAGAAAAATAGGGGTCACCAAACGTCCAAGATCTTTAAATCTAGCCAAAGCAATAGCAAAGGCCATCTACCTTATCATTGTTCATTTTATTACTTAGCGCGCGCATCGATGCATGACGTGGCGTGTGAATTTGCGTACGCAGTAAGAATGCGCAGAGACAACTAGCACAAACGTCCTTAATTAGTCAAACTTTATCTTGGTAAGTTATTATGTCATGATAATGACAACGACGAATTCACCAATGATTGGGCCGTTATCGGGTACTATGTTTGCAGCATCAACTGATAAAGAGTGGTTATAGTGACTCATGGAATTCTGAGTCTTGGAAAGTGCTGCAAGCAGCTGTTGCCAGCCACGTTGTCAATCACCTTATCAATCAATAAGGCAATCGATCAGTTAATCACTGAGTCACTTAATCAGTTGATCAATCAACCAATCAATCAATAAATATTAATCACTCGCTCGCTCGCTCACTCACTCGCACTCAGTCACTCACTCACACTCAGGATGTCATGCATTACAAATACAAACTGGCAAATATGAAAATACCATGACTATGACTATGACTATGACTATGACTATGACTATGACTATGACTATGACTATGACTATGACTATGACTATGACTATGACTATGACTATGACTATTACTCGTTCACTCACTCACTAACTCAAACAATTAGACCAATCAATCAATCGATTAGTTTTAAAAGTAGTCACAAGTTTGATATATATATTTTTTGACATCATCTGAGACTCTCCTCTCGTATTCAGGTGCTCGTCGAGGGTTGGAAAGAGGTACGCTGAGCCTGGGAAGCAGATCATCTCTATTGCGGAAGGTTGTAATTGGGTGGGGACAGTAAGGCACGAGATGATGCACGCCGTAGGTGAGAAAACTAGTGTGATGTCATTTTTCAAACACGAGAGACCATGCTTTACCGAATTTCCAAACAGAAGAGAACTGAATATATATACCACGCACATTGAAGTATTTTGGATGAATTTCGAGATGTTTAATTTGGAAATGTACGCAAATCTCAGTCTATCGTGTTCCTTAATCAAAAGTAAGTCTACGAGACAGGCAGGTAAGTAAAATTGGTTGAAATCTCTCCTGATTAAGATCAGTGTAAGCGGGTTGTCTCACGAAACGATACTATGGCTCGATAATTTGAATACTAAATATTTTCAGACATTGAACTAATTTATTCCAAGAAACAGTAAATATACTAAAAAGTGACTCTATCAGAGATATCATCATATTGTTCACTGTTCACTGGCAATTACGTTTTATGCTACGCTAGGTTTCTTCCACGAACAGTCACGATCCGACAGAGATAAATATGTGAAGATATACTGGCACAACATTTTGGATGGTAAGAAGTGTTCCCACTGCTCCTACCTTACCTGTTAAAATTATTGTGCCTAAGATTTTTTTTCATTAAAAAATTTAAACTTCTCTGTCTGCAATGCCTGAAATTAAAGTGCCAAGGTCCTGGTATATCATGCTACTGTTCTCGGAACTTGTTATTTCCACGGCCACACTTAAGATAAGGGATAACTTTTAATTTTAATATCGTTTTTAGGTCTCTGTATTAAACTTTGAGACAGTTCTTATATATTTTTTTTCTTTTTATTTTTTTTAATTGAGTTACATTTACAATCACAATATGCATAGGCAAAAAAAAAAACTAAACAAATAAAAAGAGGAAATAATAATATTACAGCACAATACTTGCTTACAGTACAATATGATCGTTAAGACTACTTACATCGTTCTTTACATATCTGAAACAATACAGTTTGGAAAATGTCCAGTTTTTTTTTTTTTTTTTTNGATTTGACAGATTGCATTAAATTGATAATGTATTATACCAGTTTAATTCTATTTATTCCAGGTAGAATCACCAGCTAGCCTGTACGAAAATCATCTTTCTTTCTTTCTTTCTTTCATTCTTTCTTTCTTTCCTGTAAGTTGCCAAAGATCAGTTTGACAAGTACAGTTGGCGAACGATTGATGAGTTGGGCGTGTCTTATGACTATCAATCCGTTATGCACTATAGTCGAAGATCGTTTACGAAGAACGGTAACCCGACCATTGTAGCTATCGGTAACGAGAACATGGAGTTTGGTACTCCAGAGGGCAGATTCAGTGCAAGAGATGTGGTGAAAATAAACGCTTTATACGACTGTAAGAGTGAGTAGTAGTTTTTTTGGTATTTGGTCCAGAAGTGTGACAATACACACAAAATATGATAAGCGTTTTTCACATCTTGTCCAGAGGTGGTTAATATATTATTCAGCTTAAATAAATTGATTATTCATTTGCTGGAACTCACTTTTTGTTTATTTATGTATTTATTTATTTGCTGTTTTTGTTTTTGTTTTTTTGTTTTTTGTTTGTTTTTTTCCAATTTTTTATTCACAGCTAAATCATATGGTTGGACGTCATGGTCGGGTTGGACACCATGTGATGACAATTGCTATCGTACCCGTGAGAGGTACTGCTACCATTCAGGCAACACACAATCTTGTGGTGGAAATGTAAATGGGTACGGAGTGGAAATAGACAAACAAAAGTGCCTGCCTTCTATATGTCCAGGTAACCATGTAGGAGGCTAATTTCGAAAACCTACAACTCGGTGTCACAGCAGCAACACAGCATTAAATGTTTGAATATAGTGAAGCATGTCTTCGCGCTGTTGTGTATCAGTCAAGAGAAGATGAAGGTGGCTGTCCACGTATCCATGTGGCTGTCCGAATGTCAACGTAGCTGTCCACGTATCGCGCGAGTAACTTCCGCAAAAGAACTGGGTACCATGTCTAAAAATAACTTAAGATTGATTATCTTGGACATAAGGTCAGTATGAGGGTTTCACTTTCTTACCTTGATCTTCTCTTGATATCAGTGGATTGGCAAAGACAAATTCGTCCCCCGGCGCTTGGGCAGAATATTGTACATATTGTTATCAGATGTTTGAGCCACCCAACGTTTGAGTTTAGGATCTCGGATTCTTCGTTATCCATCGCCAGTTCTAGAATGTTTCCACTTATGTGATTACATAAGTATACAGTTGATAAAAAAGAAATGCTTGTCATGAATAATGGCTTATTGCAAGCAGCGAAGTGCGGATTACTATAAAAATAAAAATAGATAAACGTGCATCAAAATAGCGAAACACAGAAGACGCAAAAGTGATTCAGAACTGTAAAAATATTTCGTAATACCCAAGACTTACAATAAACAAAACGATAAAAACAAAACAAAACAGAAAACGTAAGGAAGACAATTAATAATCACGAAAGTGAGAGTGTTAAATCAACGTCAGTGTTAAAGTTGTTTGTTCAATTCAATACGGAAGGCTTTCTTGATGGAGCCGAGTCCAAGATGAAACAAACAACCCTGAGAACACAGATTATTACAATTTTTTGAAGCCGGCTTGCAATTTAATTTGTAAACATGGGAATGACCGTGTGTAATTCGCTATTTCGTTGCACCCTTCTACTATTATTTTCACAGATTTGTATCCTTACCGTACCCAAATTCGCAATTAGCCAATCAGAAGCCGTGTCTACGGTCCTGATATCCTGTGCACCACGTCACTGACCTGATATGGCCACGATATCATATCTTCACTTGGCCGAGTATGGGTACGGTAAATTCCTAATCGTGCCTTTTTGGCACGCTTCGACGGAATATCATGTTCGTTTGGTCTCGCCATACAAACCATGGCCTAGCCAAACTCGCCTGAAATGTCGCCGAATTAAGAGTACCAAAAAGAAACGACTAGCTATAAGTATCACGTTAATTGCAATAAGCAATAGTCAATAACAAGCAGGAACTGATGAAGTAAAACATGTTCTCTAAACTCAAGCGTTACGTCATTGCTTTGAAATGTTCCGCCATTTACTATTCTACTGCTACGAAAAATTGGAATATTGTATGAATTATACATGGTGAATAACCACGTGACTGTTCGTGTGCTTACCCAACAGCCCCTATCGATGGTAATTGGGGTCGCTGGTCGGATTGGGGCTCCTGCAGTAAGACATGTAACGACGGCGTTAGAAGACGAGTCCGCAAGTGTAACAATCCGCCACCTGGTCACTACGGGAAACCTTGCGCTAGCAGTGGATACGAAAGTAAAATGTGTATCTTAAAAAGGTGCAATCTTGGTGAGCAAGGAGTCTTTACTTCTTTATACCTATAGTACTTTTAGGAGCTGATTTATGATATGAAAAACGTCCAAGCTCGCGAATACAATCCACCCCTTGTGAGGCTTTTCCTCCCCAACCCCAACTAAATACAAGAAAACAAATAGTGTGAACGTAACTTTCAATACTTGGGACTGGGATAGCGAATGCTATGAATACGAGCGCAATTAAAGAACTATATTCGGAATTGTCTTAAAACTGCAAAAGCCTTTCTTTTTTGAAATAATTTTCAAATATGACGAGTATATTAAATCCTTAACTGCTAGAGCTTTCAGCAGGCTAGCGCTATTCATTTATTATATGACAGAGACATTTACAAACGCGCACGCTTTAATTTGCACTTCAGTGCAAATTGAAAATCAACGATAAATTTGATTGTTTTCAGCCAATGATAATGAAGCAGTTTTTCTCAGCTATATAATAAGGGGTTCTACTAGAGTTTTGCGAATTTTTACTTCATATTCTACAGGACAACTTAAAGATTTGTTTTATGATTTTACAGCCATAGTCTCTTTTTCAACAGATGACGACGACGTGGACTTTGAAAATTCTCGTCTTGGGATGTGGAAGAATTCTTATATAGATAAACTGGACTGGCAATTTCACAGTGGACATACACAAACTATCGACACAGGTCCCAGTAGAGATCACACATCTGGGTCAGGTAAGGTATAGAGCGGTTTTCAATGGCGCTTCATAAAACCAAAACTAAAGCAATAACTTAATAGACACATATTGATATGATTTTCAATTGCTAAATGGATACGGCTTCTGGTCGCGACATTGGTTATTCGTCATCCTGGCATGCTAGTTTTTGAATATTTACTTTCGTTCAGAGGATGAGTAAGAAACACTCGGATCTGACATGAAACATTATTAGAGGAGCCCCAGTAGACATAAGATAAAATAAAAATTGTGACTGTTTCGCAGCCTAGAGTAAGGTAGATCTTTGTTGATAATTGAAATGTAGAGAAATCATACTAGACCCCTGACTATAAATATTTTTCAAATATTTCCAAGGACACTACCTTTACGTGGAATCTTCATACAGAAAACCTGGAGAAAGAGCTGATTTAGTGAGTCCGTGGATAGCAGCTAAAAATGGAGGACAGTGTCTGAAGTTTTACTACACCATGTATGGTAAAACAATGGGTACCCTAGCAATCAAGCTGGAACAATCGAACGGTGTAAGCTGGTTAATATTCTCCGAAAAAGGAAACAAAGGCATGGGTTGGAAAAAGGGTATTGGTAAGATTGACGTCGATGTGGGATTTCGGTACCAGGTAAGGACGCAGCCTGATTTCTGCGCTCGTTTTCTGAAGCATTGCTCAAAATACTGTTCGTTCCATTGTGGGAGCTAAATGCTACTAGGAAATTTATGTAACAACGATAAAAGCAAAGACAACAACAACAACAAAAACGATAAATTGCATCGGCGAAGACAAGATTAGCAAGCGCTAAAATGACATTATGGCTTCCAAATTATACACAGTTTCTGGTATTTTCTTATCTAGTTTCAAATATGCCTTTGAAAATAGCTGTACTTTTCTTCTTCAATATTTGTTTCGCTTCAAGATTGTCCAAGTTTGATTCTTTACAAAATCAATAATAGGTAATTTACGCAGTGATATATTTTTCTTTTTCTCCCATTTGCTTATAGCTCACGATACAAGGGATAATTGGTCAGCGAGGATACTCTGATATTGCCATTGACGATGTGTACATAGACGATGGGTTGTGCAGTAAGTGATGGTATTAATAGGCTGTAGAAGGAATTTGTACATGTATGTAGTATCTAGAGAATTCAGTCCTTAAGTTCTTCTGGAAACAAAACTCTCTGTTCCCCTCTTCTCAGCTCTGCTCTGCTCTACTCTCTTCGGCTCTCGTCTCCTCTCCTCCTCTCTTGAGAATACTTCAGTGGGATACTCTTGGAGTTCGACGTCAACATCATAATGCAATCACAACACATAAAATTATGCATACCAAAGCTCCTGAGTACCTTACTGAGGTCTTTAGCCTGATTCGAGACAGCACTGCTTGCCATCTCAGTGACTGTGGCTACAATTTCGCATTGCAGACTTTGCAGACTTTGCACACTCAGTCTCCACAATGGCAGTTAACACTAATAATTTTATTCTCTCATGAAATTTTGTATTGTTTTGAGTAATTTCTTAGCACGGCTTTCTTGGAAACCAATTCTTTGTAATTGAAGAGATACCGTGTTGAAATAAATTGTCTGTCTGTCTGTCTGTCTGTCTGTCTCCTCCCCTCTCCTGTCCTCTCCTCTCCTGTCCTCGCCTCTCCTGTGCTGTGCTGTGCTGTGCTGTGCTGTGCTGTCCTGTCCTGTGCTGTGCTGTGCTGTGCTGTGCTGT